AAGTAAAGTAATAGAAACCTATCTTGAGATAAATAATTCTTTCAACTAGACTGATAGACGAATCGAACTCTATTGCCTCCAAACTCTTGCTTTTTCATCTCTCTCTTTTTTTTTTCTTCGTCTTATTTCTTAATTTTCTAGTGAATGATAATAAGAAATAGGTGAATGGGTAATGCTTTAAATATTTATATAAAAATCTTAAAAATGACCCAGCATCGCTCTGCTAATTTCCACACTGCCACTATGTTCCAAGAAATTTATGTTTTTGAAAAATTCCTTATAAATAAAGACTTTAGCACCTTAATGTTCCTAAGTACTATTCAACAAACAAAGAAGGCAATGCCGATCCCTCAGGACTGTAGTGCCCCAAAAGTCTGAATTTTTTATTCACTAGAAAGAAAGATTAGTGTCACAGCACTCCCATCCCAGCTCCACAGAACTCCAAGGAATTTTTTTAGTTATACCATTTTTTTTTAAATCAAATCTATAGGAATTTAGAAGTACTTAATCAAAAACATAATTATTATCATAATCACGGCAAATCATTGTAGGTAAACTTGGTACTGCAACAAAGGTTATTATTGAAATAACAAAAAATATATATTGATTGGTTAAGATTAAAGAATAACTAATGCAAGCTCTGAGACCTTCGATTGCAATGATCTTCAAGTTCTTGTATTTTTAAAATAATTTTGTAAAAAAATAATATATCTTTTGGAAGTGATGAGCAATCAATATTACTAATTAGCTAGCAAAGATAGGCTCCTATTTAAAAAACAAGTAGTTTAGGAAAACTAGAGTTATGAACATGTTGCATGAAGAAAAAAATAATAGGAAAATTGGGTGAGCAGAAGGACTAGCTTACACTAGCTATTACCATGGGAAGATCAACGCATGGGTGTGGGTGGGCAATATGCCATGCTCAAAATTAAAAAAAAAAAATAGTTATAGTAAGGAATTTTTTTTTTAGTTATAGTAAGGATATTATATTCTAGGTATTTACCCACAAGCAAACCTATTTTTCTTTTATTTATACTATTCTAATGTGATTAAAGTTGATTCTTTGTTTTATTTATCATTTCTTTTTTTCACATTAACATGCGCAGCAGCTAGCAAGAAGTAATTTTTTGGCTTTTACTTGTAGTTTTTGGCAATATAGAGAAAACTAGTAAAACCCTGGCGCCAATTTGGCTTGCACTTGGCAATTTTTGGCTATTTTTCTCATGAAGCCTATTGGCTTCCTTCTTATTTTTGTCTCAAATATAGTTTTGCTCTGGACAACAACGTATTGAATTGTTTTTTTAGCTTCTTGTTGGTGTTAAAAAGAGGACAACCATATCTTCAAACACAAGAATTATTGGTGCTGGTTTTTGAATCGTAGAAAGAAAGTATGAACATGTCTTAATTCAATAAAAAATATTATAGTTCTTTAGTTAGTCTTTGACTAGTGTTATTGTGCATAAATCTTTGATTGGAGTTGTAATTTACTTGAAAAAAATTCATATTATAGGTACGATGCACCATATGCTGAGTAAAAACTCAGTTTATGATTTATGAAGCTTATCCTAATTTAAATTACTTCATATTATTTAAAATTTTGAGGACTCTGAAAAATATAGAATTTTGGTGGTTCTATTAACTGAAATGGTTTATTCTATGGGTTCTATAAACTAAAATGTTTTTCTAAGGGGTTTTAGAGCTCCCGACGGCTGTTTGGTTCTGTTGAAATTTCTTGCTTGTTTTGCTGACTCAAAACTTGTAATCCATAAGGATTGTCCAATTTTAATTTTCTAATGATTTTTTATTATGCGTAATATTCTTTCATTATAAAACATAGTTATTAAAATCATTTAAGGATTTTTTATGTTTATTTATTTATTGCTTCATATAATATGTGTAACTTATGTTTAACCTGCTTAGTGTTTATTGTGTTTAGATTTTAGTAGATTAATTTAATTTTTACTATGTTCAGTTAATAGTAGATGGATCAATATTTAAAAAAGAAGGAACGTGTTGAGTTTGAAATTGATAATCTTCCCATCGACCCAAGTCTTCTACCTTTAATCTAGAGTTATGATATAGATAAGAGGGATAGAGTTCGACAACTATATTTGGTGAAGGGTCCTGATCAGCATAAAAATCATAATTTGTCCCAAATAATACTAGGAAATGTTGCTCAGAGGTTTAATTCTAAATGATTTGAAGATATCCAAAATGGTTCGAGTATAATATACCAAAGGATGTTGTATTTTGTTTATATTGTTATATATTCAAACCTCAATAATAGACAATTATAAGTCAAGATGGTAGTGATTCATTCATTGGTGAAGAATTCAAAAACTTGGTAGAGAAAAGAAAAATTATTATATAATGTTGGGGAACATAATAGTGCTCATAACAAAACAAGACAAAAATTTTAAGATTTAATAAATCTTAAATTACAAAGTGTTCCTACCTTCTAGCTCAGTAAGATTACTAGGACTAATAAAAGAATATCGGGTCCAATTGGGTGTAGCTATTAATTATGTTAGATTTCTTTTAAAGCAGTATTTGTCATTTCGTGATAACGATGAAGCATCTGATTCAGATAACAAAGGTAATTATTTAGGGTTATTTTATTTTCTTTCTAATCATAATAAAGAAATCAAACATGTTATTCTGAAAATGCTAGTGTGAAAATGAAATTAATTTCAAAAAAAGTTCAGAAAGAACTTTATAATGCAACAACTACTAAAATATTAATTTCTATCATGAATGACATTAGCAATTCTTACTTCGTCATTTTTGTAGATGAGACTTGTGATGTGTCAACAAAAGAGTTGTTAGCAATGGCTATGAGATTTGTGGAATCTAAAGGGGAAGTTATTGAAAGATTTATTAGTATCAAATATATTTCATTAAATAATGCAGTTACACTTAAAGCAGCGGTTGAAGTAATGCATGTCAAGCATTCATTGAGCTTAGATAAGATATTTGATCAAGGTTTTGATAGAGCATCCAATATGCTAAGATAATTTAATGGTTTAAAGGCACGCATTCTGAAAGATAATCCTCACATATTTTATGCTCATAATTTCATCCATCAACCCCAATTATGCTTGGTAGCTGTAGTGAAGAATCATTGAGATGTAAAACATCTATTTGAATTTATTTTAATAATTATAAATACTAGTGGGGCTTCATGTATGGATTTAGATGGCTCTTAAAGTTATTCAACATGAAAAAATACTTTCACATCATAAAGCTAGAAATCTAATAAGTGGTTGAGGTTTAAATCAAGAGACTAATTTACAAAGATCTAGTGATACCCGATGGAGTTCACATTTTCATACTTTTATTAGTTTCATGAGAATATATGCTTTATGTAATTAAGTTGCTTGAGAATGTTGAAGAAGAAGGGGTATATGATCAATATTGGTTGAAATAAGTGTTTTGATTTAATTAATTGAGTCTTTTGATTTTATTTTCACAATCCAATTAATGATTGATATATTAGGGATCATTAAAAGTGAATTATTATAATCATTACAGAGAAAAAATCAAGACATTAAAAATTTGATGAAATTGGTGCAATTATCTAAACAATGACTATATATATGAGGGAGAATGGATGAAGTATTTTATTAGATGAAGTGTCACATTTTTGTAATTTTTTTAAAGTTGATATTTCAAATATGAATGGTACATATAGAACTTGTCGTCGATCAGTGTGAAGAGGAGAAGAAAATAATAAACATACACCATTATCTTATAATTATATCTAAGTGTTTTTTTTATTTTTACATTTGATCTTATAGCTCTTAAAAATCAAATATCAATTTATATTATTGGTGTGCATACCAGTGACGAGTACTCCTCTCTAAGAAATATTGTTGATCTTGCAAACTAATGGTTAAGGTAAAGAAGGAATATTGTGTATCCTCTGGTTTATGACTTATTGTTTAGTAATAATTTTACCAGTTGTTACTGTCACAATGGATACAGAGTTTTGTACAATGAGGATTATCAAATATCGATTGCGTAGTAGAATGGAGAATGATCGACTCAACGACTGTCTAATCACTACTAATAAATCAGGCTTTCGCAGCACTTTTTCTAACCTACAGCAGTGGTTTAAACACCTGCAAAATTATTTGCAGTGGTTTAAATTCTGCTGCATATTCGCCACATCTGCGTTCGCTGCTAAGGCTTTAGCAACGGTTTTAAAAGCGCTGCTGTAGGAAGGCTTTAGCAGCACTTTGAAAACCGCTGCTGCAGGAAGGATATAGCAGCATTTATAGCAGGTGTTAAAACCGCTGTTAAAGGGCAAGACTGATTAAAAAATATATATAATTCAAAAAATCATTTTTTATTATTAATTAATACATAAGCAATGTCAAAATGAATACTTCAACATATATAAAGTTAAATGAATACAAGTTCTTCTCAGTGACTACTACAGGGACTTAAAATATTCAGCAATAAATACAAGAAAAAAAAAATAGCTTCATTTTGAGAATCTCCAATAATAAACGTGAACTCCTGTTTATGGCCTTCCAAGCCTATGCGAACCTCACTAGCAGCCACAACAGCTCATGTGATCCAGCTATTCTTCGTCAGTCGCTCTAGTAGCAGTCACTTGCTCAATTCTAAATCCTAGCTTGATTAACCTGAAAAGAAAAGAAATATAGGCTTACATTAACTGCTAAGTATATTATAAACTCTCAAGTTTTTCACAATTCGAAGACTATGAGTTTCGAAGACTATGAGTTTCTGTGCTAATAAGCCCAAATGCAATAGCCAAATTCGCACTATAGAAGCAAAGTGTTTAACAGAACAACAAAGGTTTTTTTGGCAAAAACAAATTCATGAAAGTATGGATTGCTTCTTCTATTATTGAAAGAAACTCAGCTAATGATATTCTCTTCGTCACCTTCCGAGCCTTCATTAAAAGTTGAGGAGGCTAACAGATGTCATATAAACTGTATGCAAAAGCAAAACAGCGGAGGCTAACAGATGTCATATCTTCAATACACTTTTTTAAAGCATCCATATGCAAATACAACATTCAGAAACTTCTTGAAGTAAAAGAAAATAGAAATAAAAAAGCACATAACTTACTTTGAGGTGTTCTCCACGACTGTTTTTTGAAATTATGTGTTAGGAGATGCTTTCTTTCTTGGAGCCTATGGCTGTGAAATCCTTTTGCGATGAACATAAGTGGCTAGAGAAGTTCAAGCAATACTCTTTTATAAAGTTTAATCTGAGTCGCATGATGGCCTAATAAATATGTAGTCCACTGTCAAAAATATCATATTTTGATTTTCAACTATTATTTGATATTATTCTAGCATCATGATGATTGATACATCTCCAATATTCTTATTTACTAACCAGCCAAGGACATGATAAGTGAAACCTTCACAATTTTAGCGCTCCAGCTCCTCTCCCATGAGTCTCGTTCTCTCTCTCGCTCTTTACTTCAAGGAGATTTTAATTTTGTAAAGGTTTCATTAAAAGCAGATGGAAGGAGAATTTCATGCTGCTAAATAAACATACAAATAGTTCATCTCTTAAGCCATGGAAGAAAGAATTTATTACATAACATGAACCAATGTAGTGTCAACACAAATAAACTAAAATTAAGTTAAATATATCAATGAGAAACGATCATAGGTCATTTCCGAAAACAATAGGTGAATGAAAGAAGCAAATGAAGCCAAACCTATTGGGGAGATTCCAGATAAGTGTGTAAACTGAGTTGCAAAATTAACAGGAATACAAGTACGGTATCACTAGAGAAAGGCATAAATAGCTATTTAGAAGACCATACACTGTAACTTTAGTACTTTACATTGAACAACAGGAAACAATGCATTATTTTAAACCTCTCATTTTCATGGGAATGAACACTCACCATCGTCCCACCGGTGAACCAGCCTTCGAGCAAGTTCTAAATCATCTTGCAACCTAGTTAAACAACCGGAAAGAAGAAGAGAGATTACCATTTCTGCGTATGAAACTTCAAAACAATAAGCAAATCTCAATCAAGCTTACAAAGCCTGTGAAACTTCATATACCTTCTTGATTTGATGTTCCGTAGGATCTCCTTGCGGTGCAGAAACGCACGATCGACATCGAAGTGATAAACTAATAATCTTTATTTTAATCTGTTCAATATATTGAAGTTCAATTGCAATCATGGAGGATTAATAGAATGCATCAAAATGATTACAATGGAGTGGGATTTATTTTTTTTTACCAAATCTTTTGCCTAGTACAGTATTATAAGCAAACAAAAAAATCTATTATTCTTTCATAAACAGAAATGGCACAACAATAACAATAGTTGCCTAATAAATCTTCCAAATACCCTCTCATTCAAGTTTTAAACCTAAACTAATCATGCAATAATTTTCTTGTGGCTGTGAAGGTTTTGAACAAGGATGGTCATCAGGGACACAGTAATTTTCTTGTAGCTTGTAGTAGTTGTCTTGGTTCTGATGAACTTGATATAACTCTACTTTCATATGATTGCCCTTCTTGAATGTTGTTTTAACTTTGGGTGACACTTCAACCAAAATCTTTCACTGGGATAAAATCTTGTGTTTGTGTGTATTTTTTTTTTCTTAAATCTGATGTTTGATTTGGAGAGACATGCTGACAAACTAAAATTTTATTGATCTGATATACTTGATATACTAAGTGTATGGATGTACATATAAATGTCACTAGAGCATACGGTGTTGAGAAAACAGAGATAAATATAAGTTTTGACAACTAGTGGACTTCTATAGACCACAACTAATTTTATCATGGAGGATTTATTTCAGAGAAATCATGAAGAAGCAAGTAACAGAAAAAAAGAAAAAAATTATTTGTTTTTTGTGATTTAGACAGACGTGGTAACATCTCCACAAGCATGAATAAATTCCTTGTGGTTACAAATTACTTGAATCACCCTCACATCAAGATCCAATTATAAGTTGGAACATTGTTTGGATCCCAACCAACTCCAAGAATCATTTCATCGAACACCTAATGGGCACTGCAGAAAGAATTAAAGTTGTGAAAGGATGTAAAGACCAAAACAAATAACCATCCAGGTTATAGAAATTATGGACTTAATATTCAATAGATGCAGCAAACTAAATCTATGGAAGACTTGAGATAAGGCTATAGAAATAAGTGGTATTGGCTAAATTGAGAACCCACAGAAAAAGAGCTCAAAGCCATTAACATGCTACCTTTTTAATAGTCAAATTTTAGGCATGAAATATTTGAGTATGAGAAGTAATTCAGCAACAAAAATAAATCAGCAAGAAGACCTAATTCAAATCACCATGTAAAAATAAAACAACAAGAAGATATAATATCATTGAGATTGGATTAGAAAAAAAAAAAAAGAAACAATATATAAAAATACTGATTATTAGAGGAACCAAAAAAGAATATCAACACAAAAAATGAAAAAACCTAATATAAATCTCACCCAAATTTGCTTGGTTTCAGGTATGATTCAAGAAGGAGAAGAAGGTACGTGCGAACGACGGCGACGAATGGAAGAAGCGGCATCGGCGTCGATGTCTGCGTCAACGTCGGCTTCAGCGGCAGCGATGGCGTCGTCGTCGGTTGGAGAGGAGGAGGGTCGCGCGCGGAGTGGATCGCGAGGTCAGTGTCGACGGAACGCCGGTGAAGTTTTTGTTAGAATGGAAGAAGCAGATTCGGCCTCGGCGTCGGCGTCAATGTATGCTTCCTTGTCGGTGTGGGTGTCCACGTCAGTTTCCGATGGGAGGGAGACGGATGGGGGAGGAAACGGCTCACGTGCGGAGAAGGCAAGAAGTCTGGAGGAAACAGCTCATGCGCGCTGAAGTTCACGCTAGGGCTTTATTTGGGCTTATTAATTTTAGAAGATTTTCGCTGCTTTTCTATCATTCCCGCCTAAAATATTCGCGGCTAATTTCGTTCACGCAAAGAAAAGTATCAGCCCTATTACAACGATATTTAATTTGCTGCATAAAAATGCTGCGGTAGTCTCATTTTTTTAGTAGTATAATCCCTTATATTAAAAAAGATGTATTCGATTTGATTCTAATAAAGTTGTAATACAACATTATCAAAAAATACAAATCAAATTAATAAGCTTGTATTAATTTTTAAATAATCAATCATAAAGAAATACAATATTTTTCTTTGAATTATGTTCATTTATATGAATATTTTATTCACTCTAAAATGAAAGGCTGGTTCCACCCCAGATTATTTCGCTTTAATGTGAATTCATTCAAATCTCTATGTTCTTCATTTGATGGTTAGACGGGATACTTACTGAGGTATATCTTATAAATATAATCACATATAATATGTAAGTATTCTACTTTTTAGCCATAGTTTTCTAACGATTACTTTAATTATAATACATGTGCTACAAAACCTATTAAAAATGATATAATCTATTGGTCATGGATACAGCAATGAAATTAATCTTCCTTCTTTACTTAAGGTACGTCAATTAGAAATAATATAAAGTAAATTATTGTCGATTTTTATAAGTAATCAAATTTAATTCGAGCCCAACAATAAGATAAGTCAACTTAAGTAATACAAATAAAAGGCCTAACATATTCATTTATTTAAGACAAAGAAACGACGAGAAGCAGATGTTGTGTGGGCATCCACAGCAATAGGTATACCAATGCAACTAGCAAGTAGAAACCAGAACATTGTTCAAAAATTTCCATTCCTTTACGTGTGAACTGCAGCCAAAACTCGTTTAACTTTCGCCCGTGTATGCGTTCAAGTTACTAGCTCTTCTACTCTTCCTGAAGAAATTTTTTACTCTGTAGATGGAAAAGTTAACCCTTTACGTGTGAACTATGACTGGAAACCAGAACATTGTTCACAATGCGGCTCTATAATGCACCCCCCTACACTCTGTCCTAAAAACCCTATCATTAAAACCACTACAAATACCATCCCACATGCTAGGGGACGCAGTTCTAGCCGAAAACCCCGCCCTTCTCCTCCTCCAAGACTGACAATCCCTAAATACCCGCCCACCAATAAAGCTACCAACAATACTTTTCTTCCACAGCCGGCCTCAGACTCAGCTACTAAAAATACTAGCTCAGAACCTATTATACCAAATTTGAACTCACCTTCTGAAGATGTGTTAAACAATATCGATGCTGTTCAGCATTTGATTTCCATTCCTTCACATCTCCAAGAACCTCCCTCCATCAACACAGCTAATAAATTTCAGACCTTATTCGATCTTGACAAGTCTGAAGACGAATCCCATATTATTCCTCCACAAGTTCAAGCCACCGTCTTATCAACTCATACATCCATAGAAAAAGAAAACCCTACCCAAAGCCTCAATAGTCAGCCACACACATCTCCCCGTTCCCATCAACCAAGCATACCTACACACTCAAATGAAACTTCAAGCTCCACATCAAACACCCCAAAAAGCCAATCCAAAAACAACCAAAACCAAAATCAAAAACAAACTAGAGGCAAAGCCAAAAAGGCCTCTACCCCCAACAACAAAAATCAATGACCTTCCCAAACATCGCAGCTTGGAACATTAGAGGGTTTAATAACCCTGACAAAGTCAAAAGCTGTAAACACCTTGCCCAAACCCATAACCTTGAACTCATTTTCATCCTGGAAGCCAAAATCATTCATAACAACCTCCAAAATAATTGGTTTATGGCCAATCATCAAATTTTCCCTATAGAAGGCAATTGTGACAATTTTTTGTTTTCCAATCCTGGTCGCATTTGGGTTAAATGGAACAAGAATGCTCTTAATTTTAGACCCCTTTTCATGACTAATCAGCTCATACATGGCACCATCACTACTATTGCTAATGTTGTTTGTACTGTCACGGCTGTATATGCTAGTAACTCTCATTCTGAGAGGCAAGTGCTTTGGAGGAATATCCAGGATTTAGCTACTTCAATTAATACCCCTTGGGTCATTATGGGTGACTTTAATTGTTGCCGTGAATCTGGGGAAAAAGCTGGGGGCAATACCATTCCTGTTTCTAAATTTGGTGATTTTAACGGTATGATCTTCAATGCGGGAATTCAGGACCTTTCTTCTATTGGTCACTTTTTTACTTGGCACAATCAACAAGTCCACAACCCCATTCATATTAAACTAGATCGGATTCTAGTTAATGATCAGTGGTTAGACAGTTTTCCCAACTCTTACTATAAGGTTGAAGATCCAGATTGTTCAGACCATTCTCCTCTCATCTTGATTAACTCCAATGTTATCAATCAGGGGCACCGTTTCCTTTTTAAAAATTACTGTATCAAAATTCCTGAATTTTGGAGTTGTTTGCTGGATGTTCTTTCTACTCCAAATGAGAGCAGTCCCCTAAGCTCTTTCAACTATAAGCTCAAGACTCTTAAGAACACTATGAAGCATAAAAGATGGTCAAATGCTAACCATATTCAAGAGGACATCGATACTCTCAAAGATCAATACCATTCGGTTCTTATTCAGATCCAAAACAATCCTCTTGATTTGATCCTGAATAGAAAATTACACCACATTAGCACTAATATTGCAAACTATCAAGCTGCTCTGTCAAATTGGATCTCCCAAAGAGCAAAGGTTAAATGGTTAACCCATGGTGAAGATGATTTGAAGTTTCTTTACTCTAAAATCAATATCACCAAAAACTACAATAGAATCAAGGCTATCACTAATGATCAAGGCACTTACTACCACCATTCTGATATTGCTCATGTTTTTATCAGACATTTCAAAAATCTTTTTAACACTCCTGCTCCTATTGGACTCAATGTTCAGTCTGTGAACATTCCTCCTGGTAATCTGATTCCAGCTCACCTTACCTCTTCTCTAGTTGCTCCGGTTACTATGGAAGAGATTAAAGGTATTGTTTTTTCTGGGAATTCAAATACTGCTCCGGGACCAGACGGTTTCACTTTTGATTTCTATAGATCCACTTGGAGGGTTATTCAACATCAACTTTGCAGAGCAGTCTCTTCCTTTTTTACCACTGGATTTATGCCTCATCAGATTAAAGCTACTGCTATTGCACTCATCCCTAAACAAGCTCATGCTAGCAATGTTAAAGACTATAGGCCAATTGCTCTTTGCAATGTTATTTACAAAATCATTGCAAAAATTATTGCTAATAGGATGAAGCAGGTGCTCCCCCATATCATTCATCCTTCTCAAGGTGGATTCATCCATAAGAGGATGATCTCTGATAATATTCTTCTGGCTACTGATATCCTTGGTTGTTTCAATCACAAGGATAAGCTTAAGTATTTATGTGCCAAATTTGACATCACAAAAGCCTTTGACATGGTGTCTAGAGAATTCTTGTACAAAAGACTTGAAGATAAAGGCTTTCCGAGTCAGTTTATTTCTTGGATCAAAGCTTGCACCTCCAATGTCCACTTCTCTATCTGTATAAATGGGGTTCTTGAAGGCTATTTCAACTCTACATCTGGCATTAGGCAAGGGTGCCCCTTGTCCCCTTACCTTTTTTGCATCATTATGGATGGTTTGTCCTCTTTATTTGATCTTGCTACATCCAACAGTTCTCTTCAAGGCATTAAAGCTGGTAATTGTGAAGTTTCACATCTTATGTTTGCTGACGATCTACTTGTGTTTAGCACTGCCACCACTGCAAATGCTCACACTATTAAATCTATTCTTATGGATTTTGCGGCTGTATCTGGGCTCAAGGTAAACCCTATTAAAAGTTCAATCTTAATTTCCAAGAATACTATGGTGGCTGAGGAAATCTGTAATATCCTGAACGTTCAACAATCCTTCTCTCCTATGAAGTACCTTGGCTTGCCTATCTTCTATAAAAAATTGAGATCTTGTGACTTCCAGCCTTTATTGCAAAAAATCACCACTCTTCTTGATGGCTGGAAAGCCAAAACGTTGTCTTTAGCTGGAAGAGTCCAATTTATTAAATTTACTATATCCAATACTCTTTCTTATTGGATTCGTTATCATAATTTTAAACTTTGTATACAATTTTATTTATTAAAATATATAATTATTTTTATAATTTGAAATAACAAAAATTACTATAAATACATGATTTTTTAAATTCTGTTGAATATAAATTATATACTTCTTAAATTTCTTAATTAATTTCGACCCAAATCCAAACCGTCTTAACACCCCAATATATATATATATATAGCAAGTGGCATTTATAGAGATGAAAAATCCAAATAAAAATAAGAGCCCTCACTTCTTCAAAAATGAAGGAAATCAATATTAGCTTCATCATTATCAATGTAAATTATGTAAAGCCAAACAGATAACTTTTTTTTAGTAATTTCTCTCAATCATTAAAGTAGGAATCAAATTTCACAACTAAGGAGAGATCATAAAACTATGATAAATAGATTCATAAAAATTTATTAATTATATCTTAGCATGATCCTTGTGCATATATATTTTCATGCACAAGTTAATTCCTTCAATATTTACATTATAATCTTATTTCAATCTAAGCCATCAGCCCACTAATCTCACTTGCATCACAGTTAATTCCTTAATTATCACCATAAAATTCATTTGTGCTGAAATTATCCCCTTTAAGACCGACCTCACAATATTGCTCACGATTCCACAATGAAATCCGAGGCTTATGTGGCTGTAGATTAAAAAAAAGTTTTCAATATAAGAATTTAATTCCGCTTAATTTATATATGAAATTCAAATTCATTGGAAAATTTTGAGAAATTTTGCAACAATTAAAATCAATTATGGCTAACCCGAGAAATCAAATGAGCCCTTCCAAACTACAAAAGGGCTTGTTTAGTATGAGGAAAAGTAAATGTAAAAGTACAATGAATACTCGACTTTTTTACTTTTTGTTGTTTGGTTTGTTGTTAAGTAAAGTAAATTCCATGCGTATTCGTAACTCTCCGTGTTAGCAGCTAGCACACGGAAGACATTTTTGTTTCATGTACGAGAATGTGCTCACATGCAAATGCAGGTGTGTGCAAGAATTGCAGAAGGTCGACAAAAAAGTGGCCAAACGATGTAGTTTAACTCATGGGAAGAGCTGTGGGAGGTGCGGCTTCGGATCTCATTCACGTGAGACGGGCAGAGGCGAGGCAGGAGTCATTCATGCGTGGAGAGCAGGCAGACACAGTGTGCGTCCACTTACATGTGGGAGAGTCTGACGGTACAGATGAAGACGGATGTCGAGTCAAACACATGTATAAGACAAGCACAGGTAGCCCGTGCGGATCGTTCACGTGTGGAATTCTTATGAATTGTTGCAGCCCATTGCTCCGAGATGTCTTTCCACTTCTAGTTGATTTGGCCACTTTGTGAGGGAACTTGGAGCCATAGAATGGCCGAACCACCTCGTGTTGGAACCTGGAGCAACGATATGTGTTTCGAATGTGAGTTCCCATTAAAAAGAGATAATAGGAAAGAAGTTGGCATTGATACTCTATTCATAAATAAATTGAAAAAGATAACGAGGCTTTGCTTTGCTGCAGAATTCTATAAGCATTTATAATTATTTAAAGCCTTCAATTGGTTGTTTGCATATATTTGACATTTTTCTTGAAAGTCTTGCAAATGATCAAATTACCCTTGCATACTCATATGACCATGTCATGCATTTGCATAAGTCTAAATTTTCTAGGGTAACATTTCACTAAATTTTTTGTGTTTTATATTTTTCTATTCTAAAGAGAGCATACAAACTAAGTCTAAATTTTCTAAGAATCGATCCTTAGTTTTTGTCCTTAGGTGTCACTAATATTATATATGATGAAAATGTGTTTATTTCTAAGCCTTTGGACATACGCATGTGTAAATGAGTTTAGGAATCTAAAAGAAATAAAATGATCCTAATAAAATTGAAATTACTACAAGGTCCAAAAGGGTTAGAGGCGCACACACCAAAAGGTTCCTTAAATTCTTCCTAAGTTTTGAGAAAATTTACTCCACCGAGGGCTATGACCATATGGTTCCGCTCATAGCACCCCCACCAGAATGAATGGAGGTGACTGATTTATGTATGTAGGCTCCTTCATCACAATAGCTCTAACGACTCCTCTTTTGATTTACCAAAAGTACCTCGCAAAGAATTCAGAAAGGAAAGAAGGTTGTATTAGAGCAAGTAATATTAATTATGCAAATAATTTAAATTAAATACAATTAAAATAATAATATACCTTTTTTGGGCCTATATACCAGTTGAGACGTTTGTCGGGTTTGGGTTCAACGAAGCGACCCGTTTCAAAAATTGGGTCGGTTCGGGTTGGTCTAGTAACTCGAAATTGTCACATTTTTTTACTCAAAAACCCGAGATTGACCCAATTTGATCGAAAATCAAATATTAACCCTTTTTTAAACCCGAAAACCATCAATTTTTTGTCACGGGTCATGTCGGGCTGATCCGGACCCGAAGCGGGTCGGTACAGGCCCAAAAAACTAACCCGTTTGCAAAAACATATCGAGTTCAGGTTGACCCAAATAGTGTTGGGTCAGTTCGGGTCCAGGTTCGACCCGAACCTAACCCGTAACCCGAAATTGATACCCCTAGGAAAAATATACAATTGAAAGGCTAGTTAGAAAACTTGCCAAAGAAAATGTAGTAATAAAATTATACAGTGTGGTCAACATTTAGACTATACTCAAAATTTGTAGTGCTACGAAGGTTTTGCAAGATCAAAATAGGACAAAAGAGATCGAGCCTGAGAGAAAAGCTGCAGTATTTTGTTGTTAGTGGCTACCAAGGTTTTGAAAATTGGATCGGACAACGAACGAATCGGAAGAATGAGGGGTTCACGAATCGGCCGGTCGAACCGGAATCGAATCGATCGGATGACGTAATAAATAATAATATCATTAAAATTTATAAAATGAATAAAAAATTTTTCCTCTAATACCTCCACTCTACATTCCATTTTTATATCAAATTAATCAAAGAATCTAAATATAGAATCAATAAAGTTTATAAAATCTACATAAATTATTTAATCTCAATAATCCCTAGATTAGGTCAATCGACCGCAATTAACTTAAGCATGTTTTCCAATAAGCTCTTGGCAAAACTTTGACATCTCCTAGAAAGTCATTTGCCAGAACATGAAAACCACCAAATGTGCGAGAATTAACAAACAAGAAATAAAAATAATGTAGTTTAAAAAAATATTATATTGAAGAATAATTTTGAACAACAAATCTTGCATTGTAACTATAGCCAAGTCTATCGTTATGTTCTTTAGAAACAAAATAGAACTAATGCATGACAATAGCAGTAAACACTAAACACCGAAAACAAATTGCTGATTGCCGGAAGGTTATAAGGCCGAGATTGAGGAGAACTGTCGCTTGAAGCTTTCGTTGTAACATGCAGAAATAGTTAGACGAAGCAAAGAGAAATGGAAAAGACAGAGGATGCAAGAATAGCCATGAAACTCATAATTCATTCCTTGTAACCGTTAGCTACAGTGCCAGCGTTTAAATAAAGAAGATGGCAGAGTTCGTTACGAGCCAACGGCGGAGATGAGTTTGGCTGCAGTAAATCAACGCTGTGTGATTCTCAGCACAGAGAGTAGTGGTTGTGGTTCAGGTAATAGTGGATAGCTTAGCCGACTGATAAAATTGAGAAAGACGGAATGTGCCTTACCTTGCGTACAACACTTTCTTGAACAGTCTTATCGGACGAAAACGGCTCGGCGTCGCCCGAAAATCAATTTTTTCAAACTTTCTCTCGTCCTTCTCTCTCCTCAAACGATTTTAGATATTTTATTTGATTCTCTCTCTCTTCAAAATGAGCTGATTTCAGCTAAATAATACACTGATCGGCCCGGCCGATCGCACGATCGTCCTGGATGATCTGAACAAAACTGCATCGTCCTGGGACGATTTCTCAGGACGATAATTAATTTTCAGGACGATTTGCTCTCTGACTTTTGCCATACACTGATCGTCCCGGGACGATCCCAGATCGGCCCGAACGATCCCTACAGGAAATCATTCATGTAACTTCTGTACAGAATCTGGAGCAGAATTTACACTAATCGTCCCGGGACGATCCAGATCGGCCCGGACGATCCTGGAGCAGATTTTGATGTTACATAATCAGCTAATGACATTGCTAATGATGCTTAGCGAAAATGTGGGTATTCAATAGAATTATTCAAATAGTTTAACTAATTATAGAATTAGCCAAACTATTTGTTCTATTCATAATTAGCCAAATAGTTTGACTAATTCTATAGAAAACGTCAAATAATTTGTCTTTTTTAGAATCAGCCAAACAAACGCTTAATAATTTAGCCAGTTTACTTCTTTTTAAATTTTTATAAAATTGTACTCCACAAAATTTATATTTTGGTCATGCTTCTTAATAAAATTTATTCTTTTAAACATAATCATTTAAAATCAAAATTTTAATAGAATCTCAATCAAATATGGGAGACTATTAAGTGCGGAGTACGGATTAGAATTGTGTTCGATTTTTATCAGTGTGCATAATAAAAATACAATAATGCATAATAACTATATTTGCGTAAATAATAATCTCTCACCGAACAAAAAGGCTTAAACTCGATCAGAACAATAGAACATGTAGGGCTAGGCGAATTATTACGTCCGGTCCCAGACACCCATTCCAGACGTGCCATATCACCGAATACAGTAGGTTCAATATATTTTGATGATATGACCCATTTGAATTGGTGTACAAACTAATCCAAACAGTGGACATAATATTTTGCCGTAGGGGTAACTCCTAGGCGTCCCGAGTCTGAGCAGCTCCACCATTATCTCGAAGCACCTCGCACTTATATCTCCTAGCAACAGCGGCAATGGCGGTGGCTGTATCTCTTCCCTTCGCCATTCAGATATCCTCCCTTTCTTCTCGAAAGCAAAGCGTCGCCTGCGCAACTTCCTCCTTCGATCTTCTCCTGAAGAAGCGGTTTTCGATATCTTCTTTAACTTTGCCTCCCTCTTCGAGCAAATGGAGCGCTGTAACCTCGCTGCCGCGCGGTGGATCGATAGTGATCGCCTGCTCGTCTTCTTCTTTTCCCAACAACGCTTCACGACCCTCTACTCGCCTCTTTGTTAGTGGTACTGCATAGTCCCTCTCCTAATATTGTTTTAGAACAGACTTTCTTTCATCTCCGGCAACTACAATTTTCATAATTATTAGAACTTCTCCAAGTGATTTACTTGCCATTTTTTTCATTTCCTCTTGTTTTACAAGGTTGGTAAAGTAGGCATGATTCTCCTTTTCTCTTGCTAAATAATATGGAGGGTGGGATTGATCAGAGTAGCTTTAATTCGCTTGTAATGTTAATTTGATGTCTTATATGCACTAAACTTCTCATAAAAACATGGCAAGAGCCATCACAAAATTGCATCAAGTGTTCTAGGGCTGTCAAAAGTGCTTGGAATTGTGGAACTACTCAATGGGCTTGCAAAACTTGAGCTAGATTTGTCACAGTGTCTAACTAGCTCACTTTAAAATTGGGAATGAACTATTTATGAAGTTGTTCCGACTGTCAAAGAGAAGTGTCTGACTATGGAAGTAGGTTATAACGTTACTAATTTTTATTATTACATGCCCACTATATATTATTATTTGGAACTTTTAATGAATATTGATACTTTTTAGGTTATTATTATATGCAAAGAATCTGAACAAGTTGTTCAGCTTAGACCCACCAATTTGAGAAGAAACTGAAATGAAAGAAACCTTGAAGTTAGCAACATCTATTAAGAAATTGATGACGCAAATGGAGGGGAGAATAATTATGAACTTGAATTTGAGAGCCTCAACTTAAAGAAGGATGCAGGTTGTCACAAGCCTAAAGTTAAGCAAAAGTTATAAAAAAAACACCGAACAATTTCACTTGCTTATAATAACTTATCTTTCTAATAAACCAAATAGCTTAATTCTGCCTACAACTTATGCTCAAAAAATTAACTGTTTAAGTTCACTCAACTTTTCCTTGCTTAACTTATATAAATTAACAACTAAACAGGCCTTTGTGCTGAAGTAGGAGAGAAGATTTCTCCTAGATGATTAAGACTTCGTTTGGGACGACTTTTTAACTGCTTCTTAAAGCAGCGTTTTAGTACAGAATTTTTAATTTTTGTACTATAAAGCTATTTTAAAAAAAAGTAAGAAATTCATCCCAAACGAAGCCTAAATATGACCTGCTCGATGAAAACTCTGACTGTGCTTTATTCTTCAGTCCACCTGCTGAGATGATTCCTTTTACAGCTCTTGAGTTTTGTTGTTAGCATGGCTGAGTGTGTCCTGTTGTCAGTTTTCTGTTTCCAAATTCATTTTTCTTACATGTTAAACCAAAATTCTGTATTAATGCTGTGACTATTTAACTAGCCTTCTCCTTTCCGATGAAATGGATAATATATTTGTACTTCTTTTTGTACTGAAATTAGGGGTGACTTTATCCCGCCGTAGAATTCCCTAAAACAATAGTATGAGGGCATTACAATCATGAAAGGATAGCTCTAAGAGATTTCCTCCTGATTCCTGAATCAAACATGGCCAGCATTGCAAGTTATTTCAGTTGACTTCGAGCTTTATGTTGTTAAGATTGTTCTTGGTATACTCTTTTGCTTAATTAGGTTGACTTTTGTGAAGATTCCTTCAACCAATAGGATAAGTATGTGATGCAAAATTCATTCTTATTATTCATTTAAGATGTTATACTTTAGATGAGGAAATGCAAAATCTGGATTCACAGCTGGAAAATATTTTGTTGCCATTTTTACTTGACTTGTTTTGTGGAAGCATTTTGAAATGCTTAGAACCTGCTGGTGGTGTGGTGATCTTTACAGGTCAATGGTTTTTTATTCCCAACAGTTAAGATACCATGGTAATTGCATAAAGCAATTGCTTCCATCTTATTCATCTAATTCATTTGGGGATTTTGGGATTGTTTCCACCAAGATCAAAGTGGTCTTGAAAAGTATGGTGGAATCAGTCCTCGCCATCCAAAGCGAATTGGATGACTATGATGGAGTTAATTGGGCAATTACCTTGGTTAGCGGAGAGGACCTGAAATCATAGGTCTATAGTTCAAGGATTTCTATCGCTAGGAGGCTAGCCTTTATACTACTTTCATTAAGGGGTTTTATGGTTTGCTATAAATTGGTGCAATGTTGAACAAAACCCTTTCCACATTTACTTTGCTGCAAATTTGTGAAAAAACACAACATAAATTAGCCTTATTTCATCAACTTTGAATAAAAAAAAAAATTATATGAAGGTTTTACTTTACATCAAGCCCAAAATTAGAATTCTGTTTCATTAATTCCTTCATAAGCCATATTTCAAGCAACAGTACAATACCAGAAGGAAATCAATTACTGACCAGAGGCCGCTGATGACAAGGACAGCAGGGTATTGCTATATTCACCGCAAGGCAATTTGTTGATGGCTAGACTTGGAACTGAATCTCTTGTATATTGAACCAACAATGCAGCCAGCTGGACAATAGCTGCAAAACATTTTAGCTGAAACCATAAGATGGTGAATGATAAGCAGAGCGCTATAGTGAAAACCTAAACGTAGATGCAGAAGGAAACTCAGGAAATTCTGCGTCTGTTCTTGTCATTGTAGCATCTTAATAGAGGTTTGTTTGTGTAATCTTGCGGCCACACTTTCATTATAGAGAGGAGGTTTTTGTTGTTCGAACCGATGATCTTTAGCTTAGGGCGGAAGCAACCAAATCAGTGCTCCTGACTTAGGCTTCGTTTGGGACAACTTTCATACTACTTTCTAAAACGGCTTTCTAGTAAAAAAAATCAAATTCAAGAAATTTTGTACTACAAAGCTGTTTTAGAAAGCAAGAGGAAGGCCGTCCCAAACGAAGCCTTAATCTTAAATAGCACCCAGTCAAAACCAAAAAGAAAAAAAAAATCCAAAAAAGACGTGTACCTACCTTACTGTATTTTGTTGGTTTAACCATTTCATAAGAGTAGTAGTTTTTTATCATTTCTAGTTGGTATTGTAAATGGGCTAACCCATCTTATTAATCTCATGTTGTTTTTATTTTTTATTTTAGGTCTTTCTTTTCGCACTACTGAAGAAAGTCTAAAGAATGCTTTCAAAAATTTTGGGGAACTCATGGAAGGTTAGAAAAAAAGAGTTTCTGGAATCGCTCCTGATAATGCTCTTGGTTTTTTGAACAGGACTAGTAGCGATTTTATTACACCTAGATTAGTTAAGTTTACATAGCATCATGGAACTTATGTTTTGATATATCTTTTTACTCTACAGTGAACCTTGTCATGGACCGGATTGCAAATAGACCAAGAGGTTTTGCTTTTCTTCGTTATTCCACAGAGGATGAATCCAAAAAGGCTATTGAAGGAATGCACGGAAAGGTAAATTATGTTTTATATGTAATTAGCATTTTAGCGTCTTATAGTCATGAATCTTTGATTCATTATAATATAATTTGAATGCAGCATTATTTTATCATTACGTTTGAAGTCTATATATTAACTATTCACATCAGTAGAAAACATGTAATTGTTGTAATTAGTATCAATTTTATATGAATATCCTAATGCAAGTCATGCATATGTTGTGTGAATGATTATATAAATACACTATTGCTTTGATTTATATGAAGGTCGACAAGATCTATAGGTTTATAGGTTGAAACATTGTGATAATCTCAAATATACTCATACTAGTAGATCTATTGATAGATAAGTTATGTGCAGTCTCATTTGCATGGCCTTTTATCAATTAACAATATGTATCTCCGAAACTCTTATTTACTATAGTTTGTTCCTCAATTTGTTGATGATTCGTAGTTGAAAATGTAAGTTGTCTTCTCATTTTCTTCTATAAAATTTTCTATAAATAACCAATAAATTTTACATCCCAACCAAAAATAGTTTACTTCATTGCTCATTTAATTTAAAAATCTGATGTAAAACAATTGGATGTTGCCTCAAATAATTGATTTTCTTTGTTAAAAACATTGATTGACATTTAGCGTGTAATTACAGGTTATAGCTCTTCTTTTTTTTTTTCATTATTTGTGTTCTCATAAAATGTATGGTTTAACTCATAAATTCTAAAGTTTCTTTATTGTTTAATAGGAAATAACTTTTGAGATGAGAATTAGTATGATTGTTAATAATCTCATAGAGAATGAGATATAAGACATTTACAAATATATGTAACCAACTTAGGCAAAGTAGGCGCAATTGAAGCTGGAGACATTGTAGAATTTTAATGTCATTTTTGTGAGGAAAAGTTTAAGGGAATAAATTGCTTAGACAACTTGGGGGAAGCATTTGTTCATGCCCCAAAATAGCATCCATACAGATTCAGTAAGTGCAAGAGCTAGAAGGTGAAGCTAAGGAAAAAAAAGAAGTACGTTGCATTTAAGAAGGTTTTCCTTCCTTCTGCTAAGCATAGTGGCTCCCAAATGTTATAGCATACTGTCAAGTAGACATTTATTTAGGGTTGAAGGGTACCAAAAAAAATGAAAAATATCAAATTCCAATGCTTTTGTAAGAGTATTTATGCTTCGTTTGGGACGGTTTTTTTTTCTATTTCTTAAGGTAGCTTTCTAATAGAAATTTTTTAATTTTTGTACTAAAAAGCTGTTTTAAGAAGCAAGAAAAAAGCCGTCCCAAACAAAACCTTAATTTGCAAGCTAGAGATCATTTGCACGAAGAATTTGCTCGCATGCTTTTATCAGTAGCCCTTAATTTCATTTTGCAGGAAATCTCTATTATTTAGTGCCTTCTCATATGCAGCCAACAACACATTGGATATATTCCTCGTTATAATCTTTTAAGGACAACTTTGCTTCAAAAGAACAATGCAAATGTTGCAACGAAGATCTCTTATTAATTTCATCAGCGTTATAGATTTTTGGTGTGTTGGGAAGTCCGGCATTTATAGATTATATAAAGATACGCTTTATATCGCCAATAAAATCAAAGAAGTGATTAGCGGTTGGGTTCATATAAAGTAGTTCAAGTAATCATTGACAATGCATTGCTAAATAGATCTGTAAGAACACTAATTGAGACTCAATACCCTTATTTTGTTGGACTCTTTGTGTTCATACATTGAATTTTTCTTTGAAGAATATTATGCCTCAAAGAAATAAAGGTTAATGAGATCGCTTATGGAGAGTGCAATTGGATCACTGACATTGCGGTAAATGTCATTTTTATAAAGATTTTCATCACGAATTACTCGATCAGATTGTCAATTTTCATTGAATTTGTTAAGTTGAAAATTTGGCTATGGCAGAGACTCGTTTTGCATCAACAAAATTATGATTAGCTGATTGAAAACGATAAAACAAGGATTACATATTATGGTGATTAGTCATAGAGCATGTACCATGAAAATGATGTATATAAGAAAAAGTTTGTGAATGAAAGAAAAATCTTGAATGATCTGTTTTGGGATATAATAGATTATAAAGAAAAGGGTTAAAATAGTCTCTCAACTCTTTGTGAGGAATCAAAATAGTCCCCAACTCTTTTGAGGGATCAATTTGGTCCCGTAACTCCTTAAAAATAGTCATTTTTTGTCATAACATCAAACTTTGGGGTTAATGGTGTTAAATCAAGGGATATTTTGGTTATTTTTTAATTAAATTATTTATTAAATATAATTTTCAACTAATAGTATTTAAAAAAAATTATTAAGCATTTCTTTGATATATATATATATATATATATATATATAATTCTAATCTATAAGGATCATAAATTAAAACTAAAATTATTAATATTTTTTATTAAAGAAATGTTTAATAATTTTTTTAAAAAGTTATTATTACTTGAAAATTATATTTAATAAATAATTTAGTTAAAAATGACTAAAATACCCTTGATTTAACATCATTAACTCCAAAATTTGATATTATGACCAAAAAAATGCCAATTTTTAAGGAGTTAGACTAAATTGGTCCCTCAAAAGAGTTTGAGACTATTTTGGCCCCTCATAAAGAGTTGAGGGGTCATTTTGATCTTTTCCTTGTAGATTATATTATTATTTTTGTATAGCCACTATATGATATTCTTAAGAGTGGCTAATACATATAAGTCATGTCTCCACTTTGTGAATGACATTTGGGATTCTATGATTGAGAATGTGAAAGAGATCATATATCAACATGATGGACAGAGAGAAAATGAGGATTGCACCTTTGTAAGATAGTGCAAGATATTCTTGTATAAGGTGGAACAAAAGTAACACTCCCCTTCATTGCTTTGCTCAATGTCTTAATCGAAGGTAACATTTAATTTTTCATTATTCTTAGTTCAATCTCATTCCATAATTAAAAATCTCACTTATTAGATGTTTTCATTTATTGGTATTTTTGGCTAATTGATGCTCTAAATATTGTTGTTATACATAAAGACATGGAGATATTAAATAAGAGGATAAATTCTTGGTGAATATTTTTTCAAATATGAACATAAGTTAATAGTTAATTTGGAGTTTGACAACTTCTTTGGATTCATTGGTGCTTTCGCTAATCATGAGTCCATAGCTTCTAAAGGCATTGGATGGAAAGTCTTGGTGGATGATTTATGATGATAGTTCAATCGTATTCCTCTTCTTGGTGCGAAAGAAATTGGAGTATGTATTCTTTTATTAATTCACTTAAGAGGAACAAAATTGCTCCCCAAGGGGTGAAAATTTAGTATTTTTGCATTGTAATCTTCGTCTTCTATCTAGAAGCCCAAAATATACTCAAGGAGAAGCTAAGTTGTGGGACATTGGTAGGGATGCACGAACTACAACTGATGACATAAGAATATTTTAAGCTGCTAATCTCTCTCTTGATGATCATTTTATGGAAAATGTACTTTTTCTATAAGAAGTTAAATGTGCCATTGAAGAGGGCATGGGTTTTAGTGCTAATGATAATTATAGTGTTAAGTATGGTAACTCCAATTAGTTATGCTTATCTAATCATGTTTCTTTGATTATTTTGGGGAGTACATTGGTATTTTTACTTTTTTCAACTTTTATTTTTTGACATTTTTAAAGTAATATTGATATTGACAAAATATATGTGATAACTAAAAATAGCTAATGAGTGCTTGTGTGTTAAATCATTTTCTTTCATTATTAATCATGTTTATATTTGTAATCATTATAAGATTTATTTTATGATATTATACTTCATCCTGTAATGTTTTTAGTAGAAAATAGTAAAAATTATATATTTTATATTAGTAATTTATAGAATATAACTTCATGACCATGGCGTATTATGTCTTGTTATTTAGAACTATGCTATATCACTGTGCCTGTGTCCACGCGTTCATGTCTGTGCTTAATAGTTCCATGGTATATATAAATTGATTAAGGTTTCATAGAACACCATCTTATATTTCTCACCTTTAGTAGTTTGAAAAGTCATACATTATGAAACAATACACATGACATCCTTTTAAAACTGGACTAAAAATATCCATCCTTGGTTATTATAATGGTCTTGGACAATCAAAATTTCTAGAGACACCCAATTTCTAGTCCTCAAGTTAGAAAATCTCTTAATAATGAATTAAGAATATAGAGATGCGCCCTTAAATAAATAACCATTTTTAAACATATAGCCTTTGTTAAGCAAGGATGAATTATTATTTAATTTTTGGTATATCTCCCCAAAATTCTTAGAAATGGCTTACTATTTTTTAATGATCAAAATTAGTCATCTTAACATATATTATATGTGGAATGGCAGAATCCCTACTTAAAGCATTAGTAGATTTATTTTTCATATCATGATTTTTTACTGAAAAGTCCTTCGAAAAGGGGATTTTCCCCCAAAATACTTTTTTTCTAGAAGAAATTACTTCACCAGCAAAAGCTCAGAAATATTATTTCTGGGGTTGCAAAATCTGTCAAATTTTACTTTTTTGGACAAATTTTCAGCTTTAATTATTGTTAGATTTTTTTCATAAAATAGTCAAGGCAGTGTCGGAGAATTGATCAATACCTTTTTTTTAGCATTTTTTAAGAGAGTTAATCATCTATACGTTTTCCATTAGATATACTATCACTCACAATGAAAAATAATTGAAGCTCCTTAAAATGCTTAGCAAATGAATATAATGAAAAATAATACAATTAAGATTTCTGTTAGATCTAGACTGAGGAAGAAGAACTTGTTCTTCTTGATCTTGAATGAGAGAGAGAGAGAGAGGGAGGAAAGGGAATACACATAATTTGGAGGAAATAAAACTAATGTTTATTCAAAATTTTCCCCAACCAATACATCATACAAGGCCTCTATTTATAGAGATTACATTGTTGTGGTAATCGCAGGAGCAACTTAGCCTAAAACTAAATCAATTCATGACAGTCTCCACATTGATTTAGTTTTACAAAAAAAAAAAGAACCACTCGTCACAAGAACTCAAACTTGTTGCAATCCAACCGATCGCCCTGGACACCCATGCGCACTCCGACCTGCGACTTCGCACGATCCACCGGTCCAATCTCAAGTTCGCAACCATCTTGCTGCCTTGTGGTTCTTGATCTTGTTGTTGCCTCCACTGCTCGATCATACGATTGATCCTTTGCCTCCCGGACTCCACCTCAAAAAATATCTTGACCGATCATTTAATCAAGAAAAACTTGAACTGCTGTAATCTGCCTCGCCAATGCACCATGCATCAACCATAACAAGATCCACGTCCTCAATGCCTTGCTTCCTCATGGCTTGTTGGGTATGACAGATCCACCTTTTGTCCTTGTAAATAGATTGAGCAGCTACTTCCCTTTGTAGACCTAGATCTACAAGTTCCTAGATTGTTGAGTCAAGCGCCTCATGGTCCGCCTTCCTAGTGAGCAACTTCACCTCCTGAACAACATGGATTTCCCATCCAGCTTCAAGATCCGGCGAATAGAGGTGACGACCAAGAACCGCCTCGTTGTTTTAAACCTGAAATCTCTCTAACCACGTGTCCAGTTGCTCCGCCGGCTCACACGATGCCAGCCCAGCGCTCGGACCTTGTCCCCGCGTACACCGCGCCTCCGCACGCCCCTAGTGCACCTCCGCGCATAGCCTGGCCGTGCCCAGCCGGCCTTCCTCCTCCGCACCTGACACCCAACCAACAGATTGCACGACAACTTGCCACCGCAAGCCCTCGAAAGTGCGTATCTCATGTCTGCCTTACACGAACAAATTCGTGTGAGCAAGCACGCCAACGACATCGGCAGCCACTACCTGTCTACCTCCTCTCTTTCTTGGACACAAGAACTTTCTTCCTTCCTCGAGATTTCCTTGCCTAGGCTCTGATACCATTTGTTAGATCTAGAATGAGGAAGAAGAACTTGTTCTTCTTGATCTTGAATGAGAGAGAGAGAGAGGGAGAGGGAGGAAAGGGAATACACATAATTTGGAGGAAATAAAACTAAAGCTTATTCAAAATTTTCCCCAACCAATACATCATACAAGGCCTCTATTTATACAGATTACATTGTTGTGGTAATCGCAGGAATAACTTAACCTAAAACTAAATCAATTCATAACAATTTCATTTGGGACGGCTTTCTCATTGCTTTTCAAAGCAGCTTTTTAGTATAAAAATTCAAAGCTATCCCAAACGAAGCCTAAGTATAAAAAATAAAATTTAAAATATGAAAGTTGTTACAAAGTATCATATGTTTATTTTTCACTTCATTCTTGTCTCATTAATTGCCCTTCTTATTTGCTCTCTCTTGCTCTCTTCATCATTTTCTTGTTCAACATGTTGGTGGACTGTGATATCGAAAAATTACTTGCATCTCTTCATCCAGACAAGCTTGTTAATCTTCTGTCATAATAATTACTTGTGTTGCACCATCTTTTGAGCTTTTGCCCCCTACATAGCACAGATATAGTATATATGAGGAATGGACATCCTAAGTTATATCTTAGGAGCCTAATCCATAAATCCTCTCTTTTTTTCCTTCAACAATCTACATCTACAATCCATTATCCGATTGTTAAGACGTTCCACTTGAACTTCTCTTTCTAGTAGAACTTTGTCTTTGTATGTATCTCAATACATATCATGCATGCGTGTTGAGCCTTCTTGCTTAAATTGTCTCCTGACCTGATCATGATGA